AGTTACAGCTATCGATTCAGCAGGCTAGGCATCAGGGTTCGGATTCTGGGTTTCGGGAGCTTCTATGCCATTCTCTGCAAGGCATGTCGCAAGCAGCATTTGATTGCGTGTCCGGCTGGGGGCAGACCACATAGCCTTGCAGTATTACAGATCCAGAAGGAGTCTTCGTCGACTCCCAACATGCAGAGGCGACTTGGGCGCGAGGTTGGCACAGCGGATTGTAGCACCCAATAAATAAGTTGTATCCTGTGTCTAAATTCCCCGGTTTGGTCAATTGAGCGAATTTAGGCCATCCTTTTGAATTGGCTTAAGCGGCCAAAAACACGCCTTTCCATCCAAGGCCACTGTAATTACTCCAGCACATCCACAGCCAATCCTTCCGCAAGCCAATCCTTGCGCAATGGACACGGGGTCTGATGCTGCATTGCGATTGTACAGCGCGCTGCCTTGCTGCAGAAGCCAGGCCATGTTTGCAACTGCATCCCGGAGACCCAAACCCAATTTAAAAGTACAGGGCCGTTGCTACAGAGGAATTATGTTTTGCCGCAATGACCAGGGATTGAAATGTTGCGGCCAACTGGCACCATACGAATTTTAGGCCCGACCTACGAGGGTCAGTTAAACACCTGAGTCGGGATCTCCTCTGCATTGCTACAATAAACAAGGGACTCGGTTGGTGGCTTCCCATTTTGTGGCAATCCCATGTTGTTGCGCATGTCTCTCAAATGAGTTCCCAAAAGCACGCAGTGAGTCCATTTTGTGTGTAGCCACCGAAGGGTTGTGCTCTCTGCTGGGTTGCAGTGGCGCCCGCGTGTAAAGGGGCTGCCGAAAGCTGGCCTTGGCATAGAGCTGAAGGAACTGGCAGCGAAGCGTTCTGGAGACATTGTAAGGAGCACAACTGGCTAGGCGAAGAGACCGATTGGCTCTACTCACAGACTCACAGTGCTAGCATAGTTGCTGTCATAGGGTGGTTAAAGGCATGATTGAGCGCACTCATTCGGGGGAAAACGAGCGATTTCATCCAGCAGGAAGGTCCGCAGAGGGGTTCCCCCCTTGTTTCCAGTTTGGAAATTCTAGTATTTTATCGAGAGTGTTGAGCACGGAAAGGGGCATTTTCCAAAAGGAGGTCAGATTCATCGACCGCGCAGACCATGCCTATGCAGATGACTAGAGCACATGTTGAACCCGGGTGTCGGGGTCACAAACGGTCAAAAGTATGTGTGTTGTTGCAATTTCTGGCGTGGGCCGACTTTGGGGACTTGGCTGCAACACTTGTCTAGGGAATGTTCAGTCTCTCTATAGGGCGGAAGCTTGGTGGACCGTCATTTCCGTGGCCAAGACGGGAGCCCAGTCACAGAGAAAAACCTCGGGGCGTGCAGCTTGCTCGTTGCCAGCTTCGGCGTTTTTTTTCCCGTGCTCTTGGCTCATCTCCCACTTCAAAAGGAAGCGTGGGACTGCTGCCGAAGAAGTCTGGAACCTGGAACTTCCATTGGGTCGCGCCGTTTAGTAGCGCGCCCGTTTGACCCTTTGCCACCTTTTTGCCCCTTTGCCGTTTGCCTAACTAAAGGAACAATGGTGACCTGTTTCCCAGCCGGCTGGCCAGCCGACGGACCGGCTCACTGATCTACTCACTGACTGACTGACGGACTGACTGACGGACAGACTGACAGGTTTCTTATTTGTTGTTATGTTTGGTTCGAACTTGATTGTTCAACACATCCACGGACTTCGGTCGGTTTCTTAGTTGAATGATCAATTGTTGATAAACGTTAATATCGTTCACATCAGCCATTGAATTGTGATAGTTTTAAAATAATCACAAGCTGCATTATTTCCTCAACTGTCAATCTCTTGAACCTTGAGCATGTATCTGCTATTTGTTTATATAATATTTAATGGTGCTCTGGGATGGAAACCAGTAGGTTGTCCAATTGCAGCTTAAGCCAGAAGCGTGCTTGATTCGGGGATCTTCTGGACCTTCAGTCCCGATATGCTTAAGAGAGTGCATGCGCAAGACATTGGATGGTCAGCATGACGGATGCATGAGTCAAGGTTCCAATTCAACACCCAACTGTGGAGGGTAGAGCATGCTCTGTGCATGCGTAGCATTAATGATTGCAGGTGCTCTTCCCTTTCTCCAACTAAACGCGGATGCCAAGAGATGGGGAATGTGCCTTGACTAGTGGGAACATTGTCCAGCTCAATGATTGTTGGGTGAAGTGCTGTGCATCCCTGCACGCTCACACGGTTCCGGTTCCCCAACACGTCAATCCACAAAAGTATCATTATATCAACCAGGTTGTCATGTGATTGTTGACGTTGTTCCATGTTATTGTCAGTGTTCCATAATGATATGTTTCGTTTTGCAAAGCAGCCAACCCAAGCCGGACTTCTCCGACCCACTCCGGCTACAAAAAAGCTGTGCCGCCGCAGCTTGAACCTTGCGGGCAAATCTCTAGTCCGGCAGCAGATCCGTGGACACCCGCTCCACGTAAAAAGCAAATCGGACGTCAAATTGACGTCAGCAAGTGGAAGCAGGATTAGAGGCGGAGCCCTCGGGAAAAGCACAATCCACTAAACAAATATGGCAACTTTGGATGCCCGCTGTGGTTGAAAATGCCCCAACATCTGGTTTGCGGGTACGAATCCCCATGTAAATGACGTCCGCCAACAGATCCTCAATTGAATATGTATGCCCATTGCTGTTGAGAGCTCCAACGTTCCTTCGTTGAGGGTATCGGAGCAAATGAAGGTGCTCCTTCAAAAAAGTAAAGGAAGGAAAAAGCATCTTTGTTGTTGGTGCTGTTCACACTGTTCCACTCCAACACATATCCCTCATACATACGAATTCATACGAACCTTGTTGATTGTAGCTCACATGTTCAAGTCCCAAGTCGGTAAGCAAGTGATCTTTGAACTCGGTGGGCGCCCTTGGTAAGGCTACAGAAGTCTCAGCGAGCTTTCTGCAAACAAACAAGCCGCTCGCCACTCAAAGCAACCAAGGGACCAAAACCCCTCCCCACAACAGCAACAACAACAATCAAAGACAACCAAATTATGTCCACTTGCGCCCATCTCGCGGCCATCTGTGTGCGCGATGTGTTTGCAAGACATCTAATTCGTTTGGCCATCCAAGCTTCTTGGAACGGCCGAGTCCTTGTCGTAGCGCAGTCTCAAAAGAAAGGCCATTGGAATCACGGGTTCCGCGATCCCCAGACCACAAGCGAGTGAAACAGCATCAAACGGCTTTGTTTGGGCGGCTGGATAATAATTACACATCTCCATTGTTCCTTGGGTTTGCAACACAGACGTGATTTCCGCTCCTGGAAGCGCTGGGAGATGTTGGATTCTTAATGGTGGGTGTGTTGTTGGTCAGCGGTCTAAAGCCGGCCTGTTGAACTTTCGGTTCTCTATGATTAGGCAAGGTGCCAACATTTGAGCATTATCGTCCGGGGAAGTGACGTTGATGTTGTTGTCGGCTTTCTTGTGTATCTAGCCGCTTTATGGTCTCCCTTCTGTGTGTTAAGTATGTGCTATTGCAGTACAGGGGTTTCTGGAACACGCCAATGTTTGTGGAGCACTGGCTCCTTTGTTGGGCACTTGTTCTTACTTCCGTGTTGCCGGTAAACATGTCAGCAATTCATTCTAATCCCCCAGTTCCAGAAGTTTGGCCGGTATGTATACCCTTAGGGTGCTCTCATTGAAAGCATTGACCCGAGCGCGTCCAAGCCATTGTACACGCAGCATGGCTATTTATCATGGACCACTTTCACAAAGATCGAAAGATCCCCCTGCCTTGCTTCCCCTGAAAATGCCAGGGCCCAACACCCTCTCCTCCCCCACGAAAGTGGGGTATTCAGGTCATAGGCAACATGGACTTGGGTACCCCATGACCATCAACGAGTGTGCAGGTGGCACAATTCGAAGCATGCTGTCCAAGGAGTGATTCCACATGCCACGCAGCATGTCCTTGCAAATCCGCTCATTTACTTTCCACATGCGTGTGCTTGGCTGTGGGCAACAGATGTTGCCAATGCCTCCTCGAATGTAGCCTGCAAAATAATTAGAACCCAAAACACGTCCCGCTAGGTGGGTTGCCCGGGTGGCAAACCAATCTTGCAAAGCGCTACTACTGTTCATTGCAAATTTGCCGGCTAATTTGACTTTGTGCATGTCAGGGGCCTTTTTTTCCGTTAGCCCAGCCACACTACTTGTTACGCACTTGACCGAAGACTTGATCTGACAATAAGCAACAACTTCTTTCAGTTGTAAAAGTGACTCGCGTGTGATGCCCTGTTTGAATCAGTGGGCTTTGCAAAAATTGATTTGACCCAGTCAACGAAACAACTTGAGGTTGTTGGGCACGGGGTAATTCTTGGGGTAATTGTTACCTGGGATGGACGTTGCTACTACGACAAAGGTCGAGGTATCAGTGCCACAGACAAGTGTGTGATGACCAAGAGCCATGATGATGAAACACGCGCATAGGTCTCTAGTTGTCTCACACGCCAGAAACCCATAGCTATAGGACTTTATTCTGCCTGGCCAAAGCTTTCCTCTGCCGGCAGGCTTTGCAGTAGCTTCCAGAGGGACAGTGGGTGTTGGGAGCTGCATCACGGCTAGTGTCAATGGGGCTTCATCCATCCCAACTTGCAGTATTTTGTGCATCCACAACCAAAGAGGTTTGGACCTGAGGGAACCTGTGCGGCAAAGTCGCCCGTTTCACCCCAACAACTGAAGGATTTTTCCGCTTACAATGGACATCCCCTGGGCATATATGATTCGTGAAAGCTTGTCTACATAGTTTGTGCACTTGCTGAGCTGATGTCGGTTTTGGCCACTGCAAGGAGCCCGCTTGCAGCGAGCATGATCATACGGCACAGATCCCCCGGGTTCCAGGGGTTTAGTCTTAGTCCTGGCGCTCCCAAGGTTAAACAATGGCGGCTTATCAGAACATTGGAATTCTGAGGCGAACGGGTCGCGATAAGTTTGGCCCTCGCAGGCCTTCCAAGTGAACACGGAAGCGCACCTCCAGCCAGTGCTGTGCTCCAGCATTTTTGACGACGAGGCCAGCCCGAGCATGTTTGAGGGTGTTTCCAACACAACTGAGAATCATTGCAAGTTATGTTATAGATATGTCATACTTGTTATAGATATGTCATACTTGTTATAGATATGTCATACTTGTATTGTTATTGTTTGACTCGAACTTGCAGAGAGTCTAATTTTATATACAAAGTTCCTGCCACTGGACAACAAGTGCCTCCGCCCCAGGTTTGAGGTAAACATGCCTTGGGTAAAAACATATTGATAGGGTCTAGGAGCGTTCCGGCGTTCACCCTGTCGCAAGCGGAATCTCCGTCAACATCGTAATTTTGCTACAAAATGCATTTGAACAGGATTGTTCGCAAGTCTTTGTTTTTTCAATTTAGATTTGAGAGGAGCCTTCGAAATGTGAACTCCAATTCGCATTTGAACTTTGAGTTGAAACATGTTTTACAATTGACGCGCACTTGTTTGTTGGAGAGCTCCCAATAATTTGTAGGCACTGGGCTGGACGGTCTGGAACACATATACTCAGGGCGCACTGCTTTATTTGAGGGGATTCAGCAGATGAACCAAACAGGGGTTTGTAATTCTGACCTGGTGATTGCCTGAAAGCACAAGAGCTTTGGGGTCCCTGACTCTAGAAGCACATTTCATGTCCAGCGGCGAAACAGCCCCACGGCTCCTCAGACAGTCAGAGTCATTTGTTGAGTTGAGGCAAGAGCGCGTGTCGAGCCATCATGCTGAACCTTTTGGCCAGCTTGCAACACTGGCGTTGAACCTTGCTGCACTTGCCTCGCAGCTCACGTTACGTTGGCCAGTCCTTTTTGTACAAGATGATGGTGAGACAAGTACTCGGGATTGTCATTTGCAGAGTTGCAGCAAATGTAATAATCCAAGATGAGAATTCCCAAGTTGCATGTGAGAAGTTTGACACACGAAGCACACGAACACCAACATTCAGTGTTGGCATTCACGAGTTGTCCTCCAAGCAGAGCAGGAGCAATTGTTGCCTCAATTGACTGCTTTAGGGGGCAACGGACAAGGAACAAATTTGTTTGAGGCACATTCAAGGCCTCATTCATGCCTTCCAGGAGGCTTTTTGGGCAATGAGTGAACTAGTGAACATGATCAAGTCAGGGCTAATCTCAAACTAATCACTTCCTCTAATAATGGAGGTCCTCGGTCCTTGGGCCATGAAACATGTTTTTACAAAGCCCGAACTCCGTCAATACTGACCTAGAACTGACTGGTACTAAACCATTTCCACACTATCAGAATGTCCTGCCAGGTCTGAAGCCAAGTCCAAACCAAGACCAACAGCAGGAAACCAACGTGCTTCATCGACTTAAATCCCTTCTCGGAAAGGGTCGTCCTGAACGATTTGGGGTCCGGGAAGGGACACCTATTTCTCCTTTACAACAGCTTGCCCTGCAACAGCTACATGTCAAAGGCACCCAGTTGCCTCAAAACTGAGGGACGTCAGCGGTGTTGTTCCATTTGGGGGTCGCGTTTTATAACTAGGGGGAAGGGATGACAAAGAACACACTTCTAGCTTCCTTCATCTAGTTGCCTTCTTACCAACAGAGATGGAAGTGCGCAATATCCTTGTCCGAAATGAAAGTGTTGGTGGCAAAGCAATAGTGGAATCGTATCTAGATCATGCGTGTTGCAGTGTTTGATGTAGAACCATACGGTCATGCTCTTGGATCATGTTGAAGTGGTGTTTTCAGCATGTTTCGATTATCATAGTATACCTGTTTTCACGCACGGTCAGTTTGCACGCGCAGGCTAAAGACGAGAAAGCCGAGGAGAAGAAGGATGACGAAGGCGGGCTGTTAGTGAGGGAGTCCACGACGTGTACATGGACGCTGAGCTTTGCTAGTATTGATCGTTTGAGCTGACATGGATTAGCATCCGAGGCTCGTCAGAGTGATGGATCTTGAGACATCGCCAACGCGTAAAATGTCTCTATCAATCTTTGTAGCTATATTATTGCAGACATGCCGCAGGTTACTGACATTTTACGAGCAGAGGTGAAGATGTCCAATGCACGGCTGGTGTTCAGTAAATGTGCGGATGACGGCTGCGAGTTGCGCTTATTTTTTTCATTTCCCTGCCTACGGGGCACAGCGAGCGCGGCGGATTCTGCCGTTGAACTTGCGGAGATGCCTTCAGACTCGCTCTCCATCATGTTTCTTCTAGGGCGCGTGCCGTACGGGCGAAGGCCAGAGGTGTATATCAACTCGTTGGCACAATCGTTTCAGGTTTGATGTTTCCTGACATTCCTTGTGTGGGCTTTTTATTGTGTCTGTGTGTGTGTGTGTCGGCCTGTGTGCGTGTGGTTGTTTCTCGAGGACATTGTCAAATTGATTGCGAAACACCAAATTAAATCCGAGCCCCAAACATGTTTGGCTTGGCGGGAATGAGCATGAAATATGTGTTTGTCAGAATCATCCAAAAACATTCAGGGGATCAAACGCAAAGATATTCAGGTTCCCCAATTTCATGTTTCTCTTGGTCTCCTGTTCTGTTGGTCCCTTGGTCTCCTGGTGCCTTGACTCTCCTGGTCTCCTGGTCTCATGGTCATTTGGTCGCTGGGCATGGGGTGAGACAGCAGCCTGGTGAAGCCTAATTAATTTCATTTTTGCCGCTTGTGCTATCTAGCCTTGATTGCTTTCCGCAATGCCCTTTGTGACTTGCCAAGAGATGCATCTCTTCCGTGAGTTCTGCCACCGGCCAGGCATTTTGACCCGACATCACCTGGCCCTTTTGAAGCTCATCGCGAAGGCACGCTGACGGTGCCGAACATGTAGGCGCTGTGAATCACCGTTTGTCTTTTACGAGGTCTTCTGCTTCTTGGATCAGAACTCACAGTCAACTCATGTTTTGTTTTTTTAAGATGGCCTTGACTACATGTCATTTCAGAACTGGAGCCATAGAATTCATGGGTCAATTGCGGTGCCCACACCTGTGACTGAACAGCATTTCATCTCCGAGTTTCTGACCGTGTTTTTGGCTTGGTCAGACTGATCCGAACGCCTAGCTGGTCGCAAGAAGATAAGACCGCACATCCTTGCAGAGGAAAACCACTTTTCCACGATGACTGTTGCATCTTAATATGTTATATAGTTATATCCGTCGCTCTCGGTGCCTTTTCACTTGTGCACATCTTGGTCCTGATGGAAATGGGCATCCTTTGAACAAACGAGTCCGCCATCAGGATGCAGGAGTTATCTAGAGTGCCGCTTGGCACCGGGGTGCTTGGAATCTGATTAGACTCCCCAGTCAAATGCTTGCCGATTGAAGTGCCCAATGTTTTTTTTGGAGCTGCTGGGGTTCATTCCCAGTATGGGCAACCGTGTTAGCTCCGAAGTCTTCTGACAATCGAGGGCCGTGAGGCCCTGGGTGCTGTCAAAGTTTGAAAGCCACCAGGGTGCCTCTTTTCAAAAAACAAACAAACATTAAATCCCTCCGAATTGATTTCCTTTGGTTAGTTTCCAAAAAACAGGTTGGCTTCTTTTGGCTTTCCTTAAAATTCCAGCCAACACGCACAGTTTTGAGAAACTCCACCCCTTTTGACCAGCCATTCGGAGGCATTGAAGATGACATGGCATGAGCGACAAACGAATGAACGGAGAATTGCATTTCTACTGACACGTTTAGAGCAAGACGGTCCCTTGTAAAGTGAGATGGGCCCCGAAAGACGAGATGAGAAGTAGCGAATGAGATGAGTATCTACTTATTATAAATCAGTTTGGATGGCAGGCAACAGTAAATGAGCAGCGAAGCAAGATGAGTCCAACACCGGTACCCTGACCTTGCTGCGTGAGCAACTTGCCATTTGCACATTATCTTCAGTGGTCAGGCTGGCCCGGCCACAAGGTACCTGGGTCTTTGCGGACTGGAATGATACTGACGACTTCCCATGTTCGAGCTGGAGCTGCTAAAGCGCCGCATGCTGCATACTGCACTTGCTGAACAGTCGAGGTGTTTGAGCTATAGAGTGGCTTAAGCGCACTTCGCATACTGCACTTGTACTGGAAAGGTGCTATTTCAGAGCATGAATGCGCACGCACCCTACTAAGCTCTCCGCAAAGCAAGATGGCCCCCTTTGTTTTGAGTTGCCTTGGCGTGAAACAACTCAAGCACGAATCCAATGCGACCCACCTTTGATGACATTGCCGTGGTTTGGCAAGCCAATGCTGTGATACTGACAGCTGAGAGTTGGTCAGGGGGTTGAAAAGCTGGCATCCAGGCATACACCATGCGCCTACTGAAATCACGGCAGGGTGGACTCGTGTTGTGACTTCTTTCAGGTTGAAACAATCTACCCTTCCTCCCACTAACGTGCCAACTGTGGGAGGGTATCTGAATTATCAACTTTCTTGTCAAGAGCAGGTATATGCTTCCACAGGATTCCAACCTCCCAACTCCCCAAACCCCCCGCATGTGCAGTTGTCCCCTGTGTTTGATCAGGAAGCCGGCTGCGAGCCGGCGGAGATCGTTGATGCGGACCTTTGCCTCATGGACGCGCAGGCCGGCAATTCAAAGAGAAGCCCCGGACCTGCAGCGAGCGCTGTCCTTTGCTCCGTTTTGTTGGAGGGGCCGAGGGGGTTTCCTGGCCTTGCGGGGGTATGGCCTCGGGCTACGCAACATTGGAACAGGCAGTTCATGCCCCTTAAGCGGCAATATTCAAGACTTGTGATTTGGCAAGTGGAGCACGATTGTACTATGTTTATTTGACACATATTTAAATACTATAGATAAGATGACACGCCAAAAGAGGTCGGTGGTGTGGGGGCACCAGGGTCTATAGCGCGAAGCCCAGGCCTCACCCGCACGACACGCCACCTCCAAAACATATATCACTTGCATGGTGTCGAGAGCCAGAGTTGCCTTTAATTGCATTTGAACACGGCTAGTTGCTTATCATGTTTCGTTGTAAAGGCCTGGGTATGCTCGCCTGGTTATGCCGAGCGTAGGCCATATATCCACTTCTCACGCCTGGTCAAAGGCATTAGGACTGTCAACGATAGCCAATATGGCTTTTTCCTTCATGGTACGGAGTTGTTGTGAGTACATAGCTTGGTTCCTGGAAGGTGCTCATCAGATATCGGATCCAAGTGCACTTGCCTCAAGCAGTTTTCTTTGGCTCAATCAGCACACGTGAAAGTTTTTAGGTTGAATTAATGGGACGCGCGATGCTGCAAGTTGACAAATGTTCACTTACAGAATGAAGCTGCCACGCTGGGGACAAGACGTGGAAGTAGGGTTGCGCCTGAGATGTGGCGCCTACTCGCACCGAGCTACCCAAGTTCGAGTCGTCATTTGGGTGTATCATTTGAGGGACACTGCACAATTTTTAGCTTTCCCTTTCTAAAGCCAACTCCATTTGGATGCTTGAATTTCAAAGTCGGACTAACTTAAGGGTTTTCAAAATCGAAATCATGGGGCACGGCTCTCACAAGGGGAATGCCTGAATAAAACACAGTCGTTTCTGATATGTGTCCTTCAAGGTACCCTGTACTGTCGCGGGCAGGCTTTTTTTTGCCCTCCTTGATCGCCAGTCAGCAGGCCGGGCTCCATATTGCACCCACCAACACACCTCTCCCGAAGGAAAATCAAGACATTGACTCCTAGTGGACCTTGGCGCTGTTTTGAGGAGCTTTCATGGAATGGCCTTTGGAGAAGATTCCGGCAGCCGTTTCGGCTGGCCAAAAACTTGATATTTTTTGAAGCCATGGCTGGCAAGGCCCGGAGCTTTGTGGAAGGGCGGCGGTCAAAGACGGGAGTCGAAAGGCTCGGTTCGCTTCATTCTGCTCTTGACAAGAACTTGCATGGATGTTTGGCCCGAGATAAAGTTCAGACCCTAATTGACAAGTCGGCAGATTGACATGGCTTTTCTGTTGGCAGAGTTCTTAACCACTGGTAGTTTGGTCTGTGCTACATTTGGAAGGACTTGGGGACTCAATGAATTTCCCACCAAACCATGGGACGCGCCAATTTTCCCATGTCGTCTTGCAAAAAACAACGGTAAGTTTGACAGTGGCTCCACTGTGCGGTCTTGGTTTACAACCCAGCTCAGCTCTCCTCACTTCCGTGGCCCAAATGCTACCCTCGCAAATCGTCACGCAACTCCTCCGTTGCCGCTCCTTGAGCACAGTGTTTGCCTTTTGAAACATTCGGTTGTTTGAAGGGAAGCTGACCTGGTGAGCGGACGCGGCTTTTGTGGTTTATGCTTTGCGGCAACAAACCGGTTGTACTGGCACCTCATCGACCCTCCAACGATGCTCCTGCTTGCTCCTACAGCAGTGCCAAGTCCTTTTGAACATGCCCTTTGTTGTTGCAACTAACAAGGAAAGGTGTGCTGCTTTTTTTTTCCGATGGCCAGTTGGTGAGCAGGTGTGAATTTCATCAAAGGGTTCACCATGGAGTGCGGTGACTGAGGCATCTCGATGCCTGCTTTGCATCTTTGGGCAGGGAGCCTGGAGCAAAAGGGTCTGGGTTTTCAACACTCAGGACCCACAAATGATTGGTTTCCTTGTCGTTCTTGTTCTTGCTGCCGCCGCCGTTGTTGATGATGCTATTGCTCCTGTCGCTGCCGCTGCTGCCGCTCCTGCTTTGGTAGAGTCGTGGTTGGGGTGGTGGTGGGGGTGGTGGTGGTGGTGGTGGTGGTGGCGACGGCTGTGGTGGTGGTGGTGGCGGCGGCAGTGGTGGTGGTGGTGGCGGCGGCGGCGGCGGCGGCGGTGGTGGCGATGGTGGTTATGGTGGTAGCGGCGGCGGTGGCGGCGGCGGCCGTGGCGGTGGTGGTGGTGTCAACGCACCCTGAGAAAACTCAGACTTGTAGACTGAGTGCCTTTTTCGATCAGCGTCACGAGCTCCGGGTGTTTTCGAATAGGTACTGCGGAAACGATGAGCCAGCAAGCAAATGCATTGACCCGGTAAGAAACCTTGACTTAGCCATCCAATTCATAAAGCCACCCGAATGGTGGTTAACTAGCTAGGTGTGGCTTCTGCCAGCTTTGCATGGTTAAAATTGCCAAGCATATTTACAAAGAAACCTACCAAGAATGATTTGAAGCACACCAGTCTCAACTACAATCACGAGGGTCAAAGATTCGCAGCTCGCTTTGAGCGAAGCGAAGGGATTGCTTGGGTTTGAAGCCAACCAAAGGTTCCATTGCCCCTGGGGCATTTCTCATTTCTGATTTTCAGAGACTGCCAATTGAACTTCGCCTCGTCGCTGAGGTTGGCTTGTACCTGGGTGCTGCCAAAGGGGCAGTGGACCGGGCCTTGGAGTCGTCGTCCTCCAGTGAATGGCTCCTAAAAGGGGAAGCAGGCAACCCGATTCGCGGATCCATAAACAGGTTTCATGTTGGGGCTAGAGGCCAATGGTAGATGAGACATGACAAGCGTTTCCGAAGGCTGCTTTCAACGCATTCCCAACTGTGCTGTTGGGCAACGCAATTGTATTAAATAGCTTCGCAGAGCGAGTTTCTAAGCTCAAGTGGCACCGCATGGGTTTGGAGCTTTTGGAAACCATCCAAACGTATTTTATATTGTAGCCCTTTGCAACGTGTGCAATTTCCAGAAACATGGTCCTTGCCTGGCCCACTTTGTCTGGAGCAGGGAGAGGTTGCCTATAATATGCATGTTGGCGGGATGTTGGCGGGTTGGGGAGAATGAGTTCAAGGCAAACGCAACAGTGCATTTACAATGCCATAACCGCTGCCCGTGGTACGCAGTATGTAGGTTTGAACTGGGACAAGGCGGCATAGCTTGCATGAACTGCCTACCCCGGCGTTCGCTTTGGGTGGAGACATTGCAGTCTCTTTCCCTCGGATCCCCTTACACGAAATGTAACAGCCAGCGCAGCTGGTATGGGCTCCAGCCCTTACCAAATTGGTTCGAGAGTGGCGTGTAACGGTGCTTGATACATGAGTTGTGGGCAAGTGACCCAATCTATGGTTGAGCCAGGTCTTTGAGACCCGTGGGGAAACCATCATGTAAAGCCTAGAAGTACACCTGGTTACCCTGTATGGTGGTAACTGGAAGCGCTGGGCCAGGCCTTTCGGGTTTGCGACTCACGTGAGGACCCGCACTCCGAGCAGCCAACGCAGAAGCAGCTCGCTGGAGGCAAGTGCATTTTGCCTCAAAGGCAAAAGGGGACGTGCAGGGGACCCTAAAGGTTCTACAGATTTCAATCACGCAGGACAATGCGTTGAAATTTGAACATTTGGAGTCAAGGGAGCCAATCTCAACTCCCTTGCGTGCGTTGGCAGAAAGGCTGCGTTAAGTTTGAAGCACGTTGGGGCGAACGGCTTCCGGCACCCCCTTGTGTTTGTTACTGCTAGACTTTAAACGTGACAACATTTGGTGTGAAAGTACGACAGCCCCAATCAAGTTATTCGTCCTTCAGAGTACGTGTAGGCTCTTGTGAAAAGGTGTCATTCTGTGGTGGGGAGATCCTACACCCATATTGCGCTTGATGTAATAGCAGCGGAGCTCATTTGGTTGAAGGTGCCCTGTGCAGCACGCTGGGAGCGTCGTTTCCTCTGGGGACCCTCAGTCAAACTAATCCCTTATCCCTAATGCTAAACGTTCCCCTAATGCTAAAACCGACTTTTGAAAATCCCAAATCCGGGAATAATACTTTCATAATAGCCAATACTTAAACCAATTCTAAAGTATGTATTTTTCCACCCGTGCCCAAATCCAGCCCTATTAGGGAACCCTATTTGCACCTTCAATTCTTCAAACCATATTTCTGAATTGGGGGCGAAACAAAGAGGATTCCTCACCTCATGCTGGAGGGTTTTAGTATTAGGGTCTGAGGCTTTTAGTATTAGAGTCTCCCTGCCTGGCCTGCCTCGCGTCACTCGCTCAAGCACGAAAGCCAAAGTTTCAGGGACAAGCTTGTAGTTAGTTAGCCGGGACTCCGGGAGTACGTTTCCTGTACTAGGCTCGTACTACAGTTTGCTGCCTAGCGGCCATCTTGCGCTGTTTGGCTTTTGGTGGCGATCTTACACGAGGCTTGCTGGCTTGTTGGCTGCGGAGAGTCAAACACTTTTGCGACATGCTTCCAACTGTTTGTCTCTAAGGGTTTTCCGAAAACGAACCGGGGACTCCCTAATGCCAAAACCGGTTTTTTCTCGCGGGACGCTTTGTATTAGGGCGGGGGGGGCGGGGCTTTATGTTTATTTGGAAGGGATTACCACCTGGTGGCTTGCTGTCAAGTGCCGGGTTCTTGAAATCCATCAACTTGGTGATGACAGGTAGTTTAAATCCATCCCTTGCCAAAGCATAGTGCCCATCAGAAACAACCTCGTGGCCAAAACGAAAGTGGGCATCCCCTGCCAGGCGGAGGCAATGCCTTCGAACAGCCTGCCTGACGCCTTGCTGAGAGGCTCGTTCTCAATGCCCGGGTTGCCAAAAGAAACCAACTGCACATCCATTGGTAGGGTTCGCGCGAATTTTTGGAGACTTCCGGCCACGCCACTGCGAGGAGTTGTCCAAATTGCGGGCTCTAGAGTCCT